CAAATATACTGATTTCAAAGCAAACTACCAGGATAAAGATATTTCATAATGACAAAGGGATTAATTAATCAAGAAGACACCACAAATTATTGTGCACCTATTAACAGAGCTATGAAATACATGATGCAAAAACTGATAGAAGTGCAAGGAGAAATAGACAAATCCACAATTATAGTTGAGACTTAATACCTGTTTCTCAGCGATTGATAGAGCAAGTAAATAGGAAATTATATCAGCACTGTTAACGTACCTGACTTGATTGAATTTATGAAGCACTCCACACAACAACACATTTTTTTCCCAGTGCATATGGAATATTTACCTGGATTGACCATTTGGAGGACCATAAAAAGTCTTAATAAACTTGAACAAATTCAAATAATGGAAATTAGGTTCTCTAACAAAAATAGAATTAAATTAGAAACCAATAAAAATATCTGGAAAATGACTAGTTATTGCATTACATATTTCTGAGTCAAAGAGAAAACCTAAAGAGAGATTAGAAAGCTTTTGAACTATTCAGTTCAAAAGAACACGCAGCTAATCAAAATTTGTGGGATGTCACAAAAAGCTGTACTCAGAGGGAAATTTTATAACACTAAATATCTAAATTGGGTTTTTCTTGTTTTTGCGTTAGAGTCTCACTCTGTCAGTGGTGCAGTCACAAAGGATGGAGTAAAAATGAATATATATTCTTTTAAGTTTCTGACACTAAATATCTTTTTAAAATGATGTCAACAGATGTTTTCAAACATATAACAGCTGAAATAATTCATTCCCAGCAGACCTTCGCTGCAAGAAATGTTACAAATCCTTCAGACTGAAGGAAAATGAAACTACATAGAAAGGTAGATCTGCACAAAAAAGTTGGGTATCAGGACACTGCCTTCCCAAGAAGGGACCAGCTAGTATCCACAGATGCTAACTGTGCTAATTCAAGCGAAAATAAAAAAAGACTCAAAGCACCAGGAAAGGGTGCAGCCAGCCACAGGGCCCTAGGGGAAGAGACACTGCAGGCCAATCAGAAATTTTCTCTTAAGTCCCAGATAGATTGTGGGACTACTATTCTAACCTAAACCCACTCAGTTCACATAATGGAGAACTCTCTCCCTGGAGAAAATGCTTCAAGTCTTCTCATCTCAACCACTTAAATATCCACACATCTACTTATTTAAATGCTTGGGACCATTGGGAATGCTGTTTTTCAAAGCAAAACTCAAATAATTTTAATTTCTTGTTTGAGAGGAAACTGGTTCTTGTAGGGCTTCAACATTTTTAAAAAGTAAATGCATTAGTAAAATTTTGAAAAACTGAAAAATATCTACCATAGTCTAAACATCAACTCAAACCATTTCCCCTGTGCGTCTCTCAGTTCTCATCCCAACCTTCAAGCCTGATCTAGAACAGAAGACACAGTGGTCAGCAAAGACCACAACCTCCAGTGCATCATTCTCGTGCATCATCTCCTCTAGAAACTTTCTCCGATCTTGGTCACCACGTCTTGGTGATCCCAAGTGCCCTAGGTCTGAAATCTTAGTTCTTAGTTCTCAAAACATTACATTTCATTTTTTAAGATGTTTTAACTATTTTAAGTCTTTGGCATTTCTGTATGAACTTCAGACTCATGTTTTCAATTTCTATAAGATAGCTACTAGGATTTTGATGGCAATTGTACTGAATCTATAGATCTATATAAGAAAAACTAACATCTTAACAATACTGAATATTCTGATTCATAAAAATAATATCCCTCTCCATTTGTTGGGCTTACTTTCCTTCAGAAACATTTTGTACTTTTAATGTACAAGTCTTGCTCATATTTAGTTAAATTTCCTTTTTTTTTTTTGAGTCAGTGTCTCACTCTGTTGCCCAGGCTGGAGTGCAGTGATGTGAATCACGGCTTACTGCTGCCTTAACCTCCTGAGACCAGGTGATCCTTCTGCCTTAGTCTCTCAAGTAGCCGGGACTACAGATGCACACCACCACACCCAGCTAATTGTTTTTATTTTTGCTGAAGACGAGTTCTTGCTGTGTTGCCTAGGTTGGTCTCAAACTCCTGGGCTCAAGCAATCCTCCTGTGTCGGCCTCCCAAAATGTTGGGATTATAGGCATGAGCCATCACACCCAGCCCACAGTATGTTTTCAATTGATATATTATTTCCTTTGCATGAAGCAAAGGAGACAAGTGCCCATCCTTGTTTCTGGTTTTGCAGACTTTATTGAAATATGGAAATGCATGCCAGTGCTGCTGGAAACAGCAACATATAGATAACCCTTTGGGTGCCTTCCCGTCACCACCTGGTCTAAAAGCCATTGATTCTGATTTCCAATAGTAGAGCTGCTTTTGCCTGATTTCGAATGTTAGGAAAGGGAACCATGCTGTATTTGGTTGTGTCTGACTTCTTTCTCTCACCATTATGTTTGGGAAATTTGCCCTGCTGTTGTGGGTGGACTGCTCACTTTCATGCTGTGTAGGTTCTTGCATGCAATCTGAGGGTCCATTCTGTGGATGAGCATTCAGCAGTTTCCAGTTTGGGCTGTTATGAACAGTGCTGCTGGGAACACTGCATATGATCTTGTGAGCGTATATGTGCGTTTCTGCTAGTCTCTATCACTCGAAGTAGAAGCCCTGGATCCTGGCACAGGGTGTGCATTCAGCTGTAGGAGAGATTGCCGAGCCAAGGGCTGGGATGAGTTAACCCATTTAGACACCCCCCCACACTCACATGGTGTGCAAGTGCCTTTTTGCTCCTCATCCTTGCCAGCATGTTATAGTTATTGTTTTCCATTGAAGCCATTTTCTTGGGTGTACTAGTATCACATTATGTTTGTAATTAACATTTCCCTAATAGCATGAAGTTGAGCACATTTCCATGTGTTTATTAGTCATTTGACATATTCTCTTTTGTAAAGTGTGTAAGTCTTTTTTTGTTTGTTTTTTTGAGTTTCACTGTCGCCCAGGCTGGAGTGCAGTGGCGCACACAAACGGCTACTGCAGCCTTGACTTGCTGGGCTCAGGCAATCTTTCTGCCTCTGCCTTCCAAGTAGCTGGAACCACAGGCGTGTACTACCACACCCGCTAATTTTTTGATTTATTGTAGAGACAGATCTCACCAAGTTGCCCAGGCTGGTCTCAAACCCCTGGGCTCAGATAATCCTCTCACCTCTGCCTCCCAAAGTGTTGGGATTATAGGCGTGAACCACCATGCCTGGCTATGTAAGTCTTTCATTCATTTTCTAATAGATTATATGACTTTTTCTTTATTTTTTAAATTTTTTTGAGTCAGGGTTGTCTCTGTGTTGCCTCAGCTGGAGGGCAGTGGCACGATCACTGCAGCCTTGACCTCCTGGGCCCAGGAGATCCCTTCCACCTCAGCCTCCTGAGTAGCTGGGACTGCAGACACACATTGCCACACCAGGCTAATTTTAAAAAATTTTTGTAGACAAAATCCCGCTATGTTGCCTAGGCTGGTCTCAAGCTACTATATTGCCTAGGCTCAAGAGGTCCTTCTTCCTCAGCCTTTCAAAGTGCTGAGATTACAGGTATGGGCCACCATACCTGACTTTTTTACTTTTATTTTTGAAGAGACAGAGTCTACTTCTGTTATCCAGGCTAGATAGAGTGCAGTAGCACAATTATAGCTCACTGCAGCCTCAAACTTCTGGGTTCAAGTGATCCTCCCACCTCAGCCTCCCAAGTAGTTGGGATTACAGGCACATGTCACCATGTTTGGCTATTTTTCTTATTTATTTGCAGAAATTTTTTATATGTTCTAGACATTCTTTGTCAGATTATACACATGCTCACATATATACAATGTATTATGCATATTCTACATAGCATACATTTGACTTTTTTACTGTCAATAATTTCTTGATAAACAGATATTCTTAATTTTATTATAGTCCAATTGGTTAATTTTTCTTTTGTGTACTGGTTTTTATGTTTGATTAAGGTACTCTGTGCCTACTGTAAAGCCTCAAGGATTTTTCTCCTGCATTTTTCAAAAAGCTTTATTGTTTTACTTTTAACATGTAGATCTATAATTTTTTAATGTTTAATTTTTTGAAAAGATGAAGTCTCCCTGTGTTGCCTAGGCTGATCTTGAACTCCTGGACTCAAGCCATCCTCCTGCCTCAGCCTCCAAAAGTGCTGGGACTGAAGGCATGAGCCACCACGTGTAGCAACTTAAAAAAATTTTTTTGTGTGTCTGGGCGTAGTGGCTCAAGCCTGTAATCCTAGCACTCAGAGAGGCCAAGGTGAGAGGATTGCCTGAACCCACAGGTTCAAGACCAGCCTGGGCAACTTGGCGAGACCTCATCTCTACAATAAATCAAAAAATTAAACAGGCATGGTAACATGCACCTGTAGTTCTACCTGCTTGGGGGGCTGAGGCAGAAGGATCACCTGAGCCTAGCAGGTTGACGCTGGGGTGGCCATGAGCGTAACTCTGCACTCCAACCTGGATGATGGAGTAACACTCCAACTAAAAAAAAAAATTTTTTTTTTGTAGAGATGAGGTCTCTCTTTGTTGTCTAAGCTGGTCTCAAGCTCCTGGGCTCAAGCTGTCCTCCTGTCTTGGCCTCCCAAAGTGCTGGGAACACAGGTGTGAGCCACCACTCCTGACTTAAATCTATAATTTATCTAGAATTAAGTTTTGTGTATTAGATGAGGCAGTAGTCAAAGTTTTTGTTTTGTTTTTTCATAAACAGTTGATCCTTGAACAATTGTGAGGTGTTAGAGACATCGACCCTTGTGCAGTCAAAAATCTACATATTACTTTTAACTCCCTAAAAACTTAACTACTGATAGCCTACTGTTTATCAGAGACCTTACCGATGACGTAAAGTTAATATTTATTTTGTATGTTATATATATATATATTCTTACAATAAGGTAAGCTAGAAAATGTTACTAAGAAAATCATAGGAAGAGAAAATATGTTTATTAATCATTAAGTGAATGTGGATCATCATAAAGGTCCATCCTCTTCATCTTCACATTGAGGTTGAGGAAGAGGAGGAAGAAGAGGGGTTGGCCTTGCTGTCTCAGAGGTGGAAGAGGCAGAAGAAAATTCGCATGTAAGTGGACCCATGCAGTTTAAACCTGTCTTGTTCAAGAGTCACCCATATATATAGTCAAACAACACTATTTTTGAAAAGGCTATTTTTATCATCGACCAGGCGATCTGTATGAATGTTGATTGTTCTTGAGCGCCACCTTGTGCAGAGGCTGGGCCTTGTGCTTTTCGCATGTTGTCCCATTTCACTCCTCAGTAACTGCCAGTGAGTGTTGTCTGTGTTGACAGCTGAAGACACCGAGTTTCAGATGTCAGACTGAGGACATGGGTGGAACAGGTCCTCAAGTACTGTGGTCCCTTCAGGCTCAGCTTGTGCCTGTCTTGGCCCCACATGGAGGGGGGTGTCTTGGTCTGGTGTGGAGCTGGATTCTGGCTGATGGGCAGCTGGCAAATAGATGCTCCTTGCTGTGTGGGAGGTCTGACTGAGCTTTGCTGTGATGCAGGGGCTAGGCGTCAGGAGCACTAAGGGATTGACTGCGCTTGGGGAGTTCATGGGTGCTGGGGAGTCCATCCTTATGCTTGCCAGCCACTCAGCGGTGATGGACTTGGCTAGGTTGTTATTGTGGTAAAGGCATTTTCTAGATTAGTAGTATGTCTCCTCTCTCGTAGTGTGGCACCTTCCTATCTAATGCTGGAGGAGCTGTCTCGATGATCTGCTGACATCTGTCCCTCTTGGCTCTGAGGAAACAGACGGAAATGTCCCAGACACAGGATTACGAATGCAGAAGTCATCATGTTGACGTGCCAGAGTCGAGGATTTCAGGATCGAGTACTAGGTAAGGAGCTTTCCATATCTGCTGAGCTGTCCAGATTTCAGGAAGGTAGGATGGAGTGATTGTTCCTTTCAGAGAAAATGGTATGGATGCAAGATTCTTGGTAGAGTCGCCTGTTCACCAAGGCCTGTGTGTGCCAGTGCCCCACCTGTATACAGCACTTCTCAGGGGGCTTCAGCTGGTGATTGCCAAATTTGGAAGTCCTACATTCTCCCTTGGATGCCTAGTCCTCAGTGTGGCCCCTACCTCTGTCTCCTCACCACAGTGGTGCCTGCTTGCTTGCCACTAAGGCTGATGCTTCCCCTCTCAGTAGGACCTTGCTGCCTGTGCTGACACCCTGCCCCTTGGTGGCTCCTCAGGTTCCTCTGGGCATATATAAATATACATATTTATCTGTCTATTTTTTTAGTTTTTTAATTTTATTTATTTATTTATTATTTTAGAGATAGGGTCTCTGTCACCCAGGTTGAAATGCAGTGGTGCAATCACTACAGCTTGGAACTCCTGGACTCAAGTGATCCTGCCTCAGCCTTGAGTAGCTGGAACTACAGGCTTGCGCCACCATGTCTGCTATTTTTAAAAAAAAATTTTTTTGTAAAGACATGGTCTCCCTATGTTTTTCAGGCTGGATTCAAATTCCTGGCCTCAAGTGATCCTCCTACCTTGGCCACTTAAGCTTTGAGGTAACAGGCATGAGTCACTGTACCCAGCCCTAATTTTTCAATTTTAATTTGGAAATAATTTCACACTTCCAGAAAAGTTAGAAGAATAAGAACAGACTGTGCGTACTTGTGTGCCTTGTCAGCAGCATTGCTCATGTTGCTTCTGAATCCTTTTGGGATGGGTTGTAACATTTGAGTGCGTTCTCTCAGGGCAGTTGTCACTTGGCACTCATCCTGAGCAGGAGGCCCTCTCTCTCTTCATCTGTTCATTCATTCATTTGTTCACTCATTCTCTCAGGGAGTTATTGTCCATAACCCCAGGACACCTGTCACCTCGAGTAAATTTGATGTTGGCTTGCAGCGCTGGTCTGCTCTGTAGCCTTGTCCGTGTCCAGTGCAGGATTCCTCTGGGTTGACTTTGTCTGCTGTAACCCTTCAACTTTTTCTAATCTGGAAGATTTCCACAGTCTTTCTCTGACTTTTGTTAGTGATATATATTTTTTTTTTGAGTTGGAGTCTCACTCTGTCGCCCAGACTGGAGTGCAGTGGCCGCTCCCGGCCACCGCAGCCTCGACCTGCTGGGCTCCGGTGATCCTTCCGCCTCAGCCTTCCAAGTAGCTGGAACTACAGGTGCACGCTACCACACCCGGCTAATTTTTTAATTTATTGTAGAGATGAGGTCTCACCAAGTTGCCCAGGTGGGTCTCGAACCCACCGGCTCAGGCAATCCACTTACCTCGGCCTCCCAAAGTGATGGGATTACAGGCTGAGCCACCCAGCGCAGCCTTCGTTAGTGAGAATTTTTAAGGTAATAATCACCCTTTTTAAAACAGGGCGTACCTTAGTTTGAGTTTGTCTGTTTATCAGACATACACCATACAGATGCTGTTGGGTCCTCCTGGGGTCTCATATCTGCAAGACATGTATTGTCCATTTGCCTCTCATCTGGTGGCATTCTTTCTGGTTGCCTGATGGAAGCCTCACCTGCTCTTTCTGTGGTATTTACTAACATCCCTGGCCAACTCTGGATGCTTTGGGGCCTGTGCTTGTTCTATTTTGATGTTTTTGTTGTTTCCTTAGTGATCCAGTTTTTCTGGGATGGCTACAGAACCTGACACTCCAGCTCTAGCACTCCTTCTATACCTATAGTTGGCACTTGGCACTCACCCTGAGCAGGAACCCTTCTCTTTCCTAATCTGTTCATTCATTCATTTGTTCATTCATTCATTAGTATGGACTCATGAGCTTCTTTTTGTTCTGTTTGGTTTGTATCATTCCTGCACTTCATTATTTTGATGCTTATGATGTCCCAGATTGCTCAGTGAGATCCTTCACACTAACTCCTGTGTCCTGACGTCCTCATCGTTTGTTTTTGTTTTGTTTTTTTAATTTTTAATTTTACTCAGAGGAATTTGTGTAGGGATCTATCATTCTTCTGAGTGCTTTCTTTCTGGCATAACTGTCTTACTCAGTCCTGGAATCAGCTGTTTCCCTGAGGAACCCTGCTTCCTTTTTGGGAAGACGGGTCTCAGGGAACAAGGTCTGGGTCCTCAGAGTGCTCATTGCTACTGGGGTATATTTACTTTTTGGCCTTTTAAACATATAGAGCTAGAAAGTTTATGCATGAGTATGCACATGTACACATACGGGTACACAAATGCACATGCATACCTACGCGCACATGCATCTTAGAAATGCTGAATTCTTGCTGATAGCCCTAATGGCAGTTCATTCCCATAGCGAGTTGTTTTGCTGTCTCCCCTTCCATCACATCTCTTCCTTGGTGAGAGCCCTAGCTTCCAAGAACACCAGTGCATTTATTCATTTGCTCTCTGATAATGCATCTAAAATTGTTTCAGAATTGCTTCATCCATTCCACTACAAAAATATACTCAAAAAAAGTCAGGATTTATTTGCATTCCTCTACGCATGTATTTCACCCAGGATTGAGGAACACAGTCTAATCTTGTGTTCATAAATTTCTTGGATTAGTCTTTTTCTGTTTCATTGTAGTTCGGACTTTCATTGAAATACATTTGAGGGCTAGACTCGGTGGCTCAACTTGTAATCCCAGCACTTTGGGAGGCTGAGGTAAAAGGATTGCCTATCCCGCGGATTTGAGACCAGCTCGGACAACTTGGTGAGACCTCGTCTCTACAATAAATAAAAAATTAAGCCGGGCTCGGTGGCTCAGCCTGTAATACCGTGCCTTGGGAGGCCGAGGTGAGTGAATTGCCTAGCCCGCGGGTTCAAGACCTGCCTGGGCAACTTGGTAAGACCTCATCTCTACAACAAATCAAAAAATTAGCCGGGCGTGGTAGCGCGCGCCTGTAGTTACAGCTACTTGGAAGGCTGAGGTGGAAGGATGGCCGGAGACCAGCAGGTCGAAGCTGTGGTGGCCAGGAGCGGCCACTGCATTCTAGTCTGGGTGACAGAGTGAGCCTCCAACTCAAAAAAAAAAAAAATTAGCTGGGTGTGGTAGCACACGCTGTAGTTCCGGCTACTTGGAAGGCTGAAGCGGAAGGATCACTGGAGCCAGCAGGTCGATGCTGGGTGACCACGAGCATGCCACTGCACTCCAGCCTGGGCAACAGAGTGAGACTCCAACTAAAAAAAGAAAAAGAAAAGAAATACAATTGGGATACCAGGCACGGTGGCTCTTGCCTGTAATCCTAGCACTTTGAAAGGCCGGGGCGAGAGGATTACCTGAGCCCAGGAGTTTGAGACCAGCCTGGGCAACTTGGCAAGACCTTGTCTCCACAATAAATTTTTTAAAAATTTTCCAGACATGGTGGTGCATGCCTGTAGTTCCATCTACTTGGAAGACTGAGGTGGAAGAATTGCCTGAGCCCAGTAGGTCGAAACTGCAGTAGCTGTGAGTGTGCCACTGCACTCCAGCCTAGGTGACAGAGTGAGATTCCTACTCAGAAAAAAAAAAAAGAAATATAATTGAGCTGGGCTCGGTGGCTCAGCCTGTAATCCCGTGCCTTTGGGAGGCTGAGGTGAGTGGATTGCCTGAGCCCGCGGGTTCAAGACCCGCCTGGGCAATGAGACCTCATCTCTACAATAAATCAAAAAATCAGCCGGGCGTGGTGGCACATGCCAGTAATTCCAGCTACTCGGAAGCTGAGGCAGAAGGATCGCTGGAGCCCAGCAGGTTGAGGCTGCGATGGCTGGGAGCGTCCAGTGCACTCCAGTCTGGGCAACAGAGTGAGACTCCAACTCAAAAAAAAAAAAAAGAAATATAATTGAGTTCATTAGTATCAGTTAGAGGTTTTTTGTTCTCCCTTCCCATTGTTATTTAATTTTACTTTTTAAACATAAGATCATTCACTTGCTTCCAAAAGCCAAAACATACAAAAGGTATGTTCAATAAGAGCCACTTGGTCCCATGCCCTTTCCCATATTCCCACCTACGTGTTGCAGGTAGGAAAACTACTTGTTTTCTGGTTTATCTCCGGTGTTTTTCTTTATAAGAATAAACAAATGTTGGTGTGTTTTCTTATTTTCCCTTCACTCTTAAAATGTGTCATGGCTTATGTGCCCTTTGTGCAGTTTGCTTTTTCCACTTAACAACATCCCCTGAAAATCACTGCCTCAGATCATTGAGGTTGTCTTCCTCCTTTTTTGAAACTCCTGGGCCTCTGTTATGTGTATACCACAGTCCTGTGTTGAATATATAGATAATTTCTTTCTTTTTTATTTATTTATTAATTTTTTGAGTTGAAGTCTCACTCTGTCGCCCAGACTGGAGTGCAATGGCCGCTCCCGGCCACCGCAACCTCGACCTGCTGGGCTCCGGCGATCCTTCCCCCTCAGCCTTCCAAGTAGCTGGAACTACAGGCGCGCGCTACCATGCCCGGCTAGTTTTTGATTTATAATGGAGATGAGGTCTCACCAAGTTGCCCAGACGGGTCTCGAACCCGCGGGCTCAGGCAATCCACTCACCTCAGCCTCCCAAAGTGCTGGGATTACAGGCTGAGCCACCGAGCCCGGCCTGTAGATCATTTCTAATATTCTGCAGTTACAAGTAAGGCTGCAATGTGCTTGGGTAATTTTGTGGCTTTGGAGGTATATCTTCAGGTAAATTCTGGACAAGTGATTGCTGGGTCAAAGTGCAACTGCTCAGTACTGTTACTACATGCCCTCTATAGGAATCCTGCATGCTGTGCCCACCTCACACTGATAGCCCATTTTGCCTTCCACTGGAGAATGCTGGGTGTGTGTACCATGAGAAGTCTCAGAGCACTTGTACTTTGGGTCTCTGGTGATGGGTGGAGTGGGTATCTTCCATGTGTCACTGTTCACTTGGTGAACTGCCTGTTCTTATCTTTTGCCTGT